ATAGCTTGGCTAGAGAGGCCCTCTTTACAGTGTTTCTCACCAATTTGTCCACTATTTTGCTCAGCCAATTTCTTGAGCCAGAAAACAATTTGCATTTGCCAGATTAGGATCAGACTATGTCCAATTATTATGTATGTGATTTAAGAAGGCTTCTTAAAGGTTTCTGTGGATTCCCATCTCAAAAAAGTGCAGAGGATACTATTCACTTTTCTAAAGTAGACTTGTTTCTTTCATAAATGATTAGTATGTTGATTAGTACAATTTGGAACCTAAAAAATTGCTAATCATTCCCAAAACTGTATTAAAAAAGATAAATGTTGATACCTGTTCTGCAGCTTTTAGGTGGTGATGGAAACAACAACATATGAACAAAGCCCAGTTAAGGCTGTTAATGGCTCTTGGGCTTTACGTTAAATACTTCCCCTTTGAAAATTTAACCCATATTTCTGCTCCATGTTGATCCCAGCTAGCGATTTGTGAGTCATGTCCAGGGTTGGGCTGCTGGGGGTTTGCAGGGGTTTGGGAGAACCTCTAACTAAGATTCTGTGCAGTTCAGAGAACCCCCAAATCCCGCTCCTGGCTGGCCCCGCCCCACCCAACCTGCCCCTTCCAGGAGTCCCCTCACAGCCCCTTTTGGATGCAGGTAAGTGCAGGGCATGTGTGGAGGCTCAGGGAAAGCAAAAAACATGCCTACCGGAAGATCCGGCCTCCAGAAGGCTCCAGAGGCCTCCACAGGGCCTCCAGAGCCTGGGAAGGCTGTTTGTGCCCTCCCGGAGGTTCAAGGAAAGCCTCTGGAGCCCGGGGAGGGCAAAAATGCCCCCCACCCCCGCTATGGTGCAGGAGGCCAACTAGGCCACACCCATCATGGCCACGCCCACCCAGCAACCGGGCAGAAAACCTCTTGCTAAAATTTTTGAAGCCCATCCCTGGTCATGTTTTTTCACAAGGGTTTAAGGTTTGAATATCCTCCCACTGCTTGGCTTCTACAGAGAAGAAGCCACCTTTTCAAAGTGTAAAGGATGTCCACCTTCCTGAAAAGATCGCTATTTCCCGTGGCCCTTTCTTTTCTCTAAAGACTTTTCTTCCTCTCTTCCCAGGGGTTTCCTGGAATTCCTGCCTTGAACTACGTGGTTTCTTAATAAGTATTACAAAAATGCATTTTTATTGAATATTATTTTAAGCATAAAATGTTTAATCTGTTCAAATACTTTCCTTTGTACCATAGAAATGTGAAACTATTAGACATTAACAAGGAAATTGCTTTTCTCAGCTGCTTGAGTCCATTAAATAGGGTTTTTTAAAAGACCAATTATTCCTTTGGTCTTCAACCAAAGGCAGGGAGGAATTATTGTGACTCGATACTGTACTTCATCATTATCTGTTTCCTTAATTTCCAGACAGAGATTTATTTTATTTCATCAGAAAAGAACACCATTTAGTGAGAAGCTATTTAGGTTTAGGTTTAGGTTTAGGTTTAGGTTTATTTGATTTGTATACCGCCCTACTCCCGAAGGACTCAGGGCGGTGAACAGCCAACAATAAAATACATAAATACACAAAATTTAAAAACCCGATAAAATCAAATTAAATTATTTGGCCCAGACAAATTAAAATGCCCCAATAATTTAAAAACAGATTAAAATTTACGTATTTAAAAAGGGAAGAGATCAGGCCAAGACCGCTTGATGGAATAAAAAGGTCTTCACAGCACGGCGGAAGGAGTGCAGATCCGGGATCCTCCGTATCTCCGGGGGGAGCTCATTCCAGATGGTAGGTGCCCCCACGGAGAAGGCTCTCCCCCTAGGGGCCGCCAGTCGACACTGTTTGGCTGACGGCACCCGGAGGAGTCCCTCTCTATGAGAGCGTACTGGCCGGTGGGAGGCTATTGGTGGTAGTAGGTGGTCCCGTAAATAACCAGGCCCTAAGCCATGGAGCGCTTTAAAGGTGGTAACCAAAACCTTGAAGCACACCCGGAAGACCACCGGGAGCCAGTGCAGCTCGCGCAGGAGAGGTGTTACATGGGAGCGCCATGTCGCTCCCATTACCACCCGCGCGGCCGCACTCTGCGCCAGTTGGAGCCTCCGGGTGCTCCTCAAGGCAGATTTAAATAAATCTGCCACCATAATTATAGTTTGTAGCAAATAATGGGTGTCTCACTGGGGTCACACCCCAAGTAGAAGATTAGAGTTGACTTTGGATATCATCAAGTAAATGATTGAGGGTGGCTCTTTACAGATCAAAAGTCAAATGGAGAGAAAAGGAAGTATAACTGAAAGAGAAGGCAAGGGAGAATGCAAATGTGCAGAAATCTCCTAGGCAAATGGAGAAAATAACTATTACAGGAAGAAGAAATGCATTGCATCTCATCTTAGTGACCTCCTTGTTTTGTTGTTCAGATGCAAAGCACAATCTTCCTTCCTCTGACTCTTTTCCTCCAAATTAACTTGGGTTGGATTCCATTTCAAATAGAGGATGTTTTCATGTAGAGGACTAATCTCCAACAGCTCTTCAAAGAGAGGACTGGCTCTTTGGGGAGTTGGGTGCATAGCCATCAAATAGACAGAAAAGGTGCAATAATAAGGTGACCAACTTTTTTACAATGAGAAGGAGGACACAAATAAATTGAAGAAAAAAAAATATTGTAAAGCGAATCTAATGCGTGCATGTGTGCCATGTCGTGTTTGGGTAAGAAATAAACAAAGCCACTTGCGCGTGGCACATTCTCTCAAAACAATTCTCTTGTGCGGAGCGCATGCGTCTCATAATCATGTCTCGCCACACTGTACCGAGCTTTGACAAATCGTCATGTCAAATACAAATACGTCACATCACACACAACGGATCGGATCGGCATCGATCGAATATGGAGATTTACAGTTTAGTCTTCAAATATCGAAAAGGAGGTCATGTAGGAGGATACTTTTTGAGAGAGGACAGAATTTACAAAAGAAGGACTGTCTTCCCTAAAGGAGGACGATTGATCACCTTAGCAATAAGGTAGATTCTGATTGCTGTTAGCATAAGTTAGGGGTGTCAAACTCGATTTCATTGAAGGCTGCATCAGAGTTGTGTTTGACCTTAGGGGGGCAGGTGGTCATGGCTGGGTGGTTGCAGCCGACTGGGTGGGTATGGCTGAGGTGATGTGGCTAGCTCAATGTTGCTCACATCAGGGGTGCCTGTGGTGACCTGGGTGGGGCTCGGAGATCCATTGTCTCCAACGCACGCCCAGGGGATGGGGTGGGGGCAGTCCCTCTCTGGCTCCAGGGCAGCCCCGCAGATCCAAGGCTGAACATGTTCTGGCCCAAATGGTCTCCACCAAGTTGTAAATCACCACTTGGCTGGCCTGGGCTGAGGCCAAGGTGCTGAGGTCTGAAGGAATGCTATCTCTCAAAGAGTTATACGGTAGAGTTTTGTGTTATAACTTATTCTGGGCTCTGTGTGAATAATCCTCTAAGAAAGAACACAATTCATGAAAATTGTTCTGTATATATTTGTTAATACAAATTCTGAAGACAAACTATTGCATAGCTGCTATAAAATATAAACAGAAATTTGAACATGAAAGGGAAATTGAATAAACTTCAAACTCTCCATCTTAGTTTAGAATATTTTTGCTGCTAGTTACTCATGAAACCAGGCAAGACCGGAGATGAGAAGTGTTTGCATCCTGATAATTGTGGGTTCTGAAATAAATAATGCACCCAAGAAAGAGGCCGTTTCCAATGAACAGCTGGGACAGTTTGACAAAGGCTCTTGCAGCGCTTCAAAGATGAACAGATTTCTAATGGCAGAAGTTTTTGTAGAGAAGAAGCTTATATATTATGAAGTAGTCTCTAATCTACAAAAGCTTATCCCATTGTACAATTGATAATGTTCCTTTATTAAAAAGCTACATTGCATGATTTGTGCTGGGGAGTAGTCTAAAGCAGGGGTCTCCAACCTTGGCAACTTTAAGATTTGTGGACTTCAACTCCCAGAATTCCTCAGCCAGCAAAGCTGGCTAAGGAATTTTGGGAGTTGAAGTCCACAAGTCTTAAAGTTGCCAAGGTTGGGGACCCCTGTTGTAAAGGATAAAAGAAAACAGACATAGTAATTCTTCCATACTAAAAAACAAAACAAAAACCAATTATTTTCATAATGGCCCAGAGGCAGGACAAGTGTACAATTCCTCCCATATTTCTTTTACAGCAAAAGGTATTCAGAAAGATTTTCTTCCAGTTCAGGAAGTACTTTGTAGTCTTTGTTTAGAAGCCATATTCTTGGTAGATGCAAATGTGTCAAATCCACCTTTAAAGCTATCCATGTTAGTGGCCATCAGAACATTTTATGGTAACAAATTTCATAATGCATCTATGGCAACCCATATACCTGTATATGGATAGAAGATACCTTATGACATGGGTAGGTTCTATTTTCAATCTCTTTTCTAATAAATTCTAAAATAAATGTCGCCCTTTTTCAATTCCTGTTTTCTGGAATTGTTATCCATTTTATTAATTCTGAGAAATCCTCTTGGAGTTCTCTGCAATTGATTTTGGTTTTACTACTCTGAATAATTTGATATTAAGTTTCAGTTCACACCAAAGGTATAAAAATTGGTCCCTAATACAGAAGAAAGGAAAATGTCACCCTTTACATCCTTCCACGTATTGTAAACTGCTGAAGATCTTTGATATTGGTATATAATGTGTTAACTAAATAAAAATCTATTTCAATTCTTTTCTTCTTCTTGAAATGGCACCACTAGCTCCTGGCTAGTTTTGAAAAGGTTGAGAAAAGCTATGCATTTTGCTGAAGCAACAGCTCTCCATCCATAAAGGAAACTCTACAACCAGTCTTCTTCTGGTACTCTGTCCAAGGTCCTGATTCCTTGACTAATTTGGAGCTTATTGTACCCACCTTTATTTGACTTTCCTGAGTAGGATTTGATACAGCCATAGCACGCCCTTGAGAACTGCTGCCCATCAACCTGAATAAGAATGATGGACCACTTTGTCTGATTTTGTATAAAGCAGCTTCCCAGGGTGCTATTTTAAAGTACAGATTTCTTTTCCCAACAAATTTGTGAAAAAGAGGCACTGCCAAAAATATCCATTACATTCTTAACATTGCTGTATTGTGTTCCTGTCAATTTAATTACAAAGCACATATGAAAGAAAAACAGACAGGTATATTGTAGCAGATTATAAACACATTCTACCTTGTCACTTCGCCCCCTTGACAAAATTCCTGCTGTGAGATAGAGAATTCTATAGTTATGTGATGGAAGATGTACTTTTGCAAAAGCATGGCTATTTTTCTGCATACTTCAGCTGACATTTAAACTCATTTATTTATTTTGCAGTTTTGGAGGCTGCCCAACTCCTGACGCCCTACCCAGCTTACAGTTTAAAAAGGGTGATTGATTGATTGTGTGCCATTGAGTCATTTCCAGCTCCTAGCAACCACATAAATCAATTTTCTCCACAATGATCTATCCTAACCTGTTTTTCAGGTTTCTCAACAGTGCGTCCATCACTACTGTAACTGAGTCCATCCACCTTGCTACTGGTTCTTCTCTTTTCTTTCATCTTTCTAAGCTTTAGAACCTTCTCTAGATCTTCACATGAGGTGTCCAAAGTAGGATAATTTGAGCTTGGTGAGAACTCTGGTTTGATGTGTTCAATGATCCATTGATCTGGTTTGGGAGGGAAAACAGTACCAAAGAGAGAGAGAGAGAGAGAAATAAGTGCCTTAAAGATAAACATATAAGCAAAAACTTATTCAACAGTAACTCTACCCTCAACTTACCTGGAAGAATACCTTCCTGAATTTCATCAGAATGAAAGACATTCATATCTCTGGGATGCTATTCCAGAAGGAAGGTCTCACAACAGAAAAGGCACATTTCCTGTATGTCACTAGATGATACGGCTTAATTCATGGGACTCCAAATGTCTTCAATGCATTGTTGCTTAAGTAGCTAGACAAATCTTCTGAGATATTTTTTAGACAGTGCTTATTAAGGATATCTCACAACATGTTTGTGATTGTAAATATGGCCACTGCTGCCTATTCCTTTTTGTAGCCTTATTATAATCATAGAGAGAGGGGGGAAAAAGAGCTAGACGATAACCATTAGCTATGCCACTCAAGCTGCAAGATAAAGGCTTCCAAGTTGAGCTTGACTCCTGATGATTACACAACCAAATTCATATTGTTGCTTGAGATAAGGGAATTGTTTACCACTTCTTTTTCCCAGGATATTTTTCAGGATGTCCACACTAGTCCACCATTCAGAATTTTCCCAATGGTCTTCCATCCTAGTTATTGGGTAGATTTGACACTCCATAGCATTTTGAAGGTCAGCCAAAGCTTGCTAAAAATGTTACCACCTGTTAAGTGGTGAAATCTAAAATGTGTTACTACCGGGTTCTGTGGGCGTGGCTTGGTGGTGGTGGGGTAATGTGACTGGGTGAGCGTGGCCAATTTTTTTTTCTTTTAAAACCATTTTTTCTACAACCTCTTCGGCGAAGAGGTTGTAAAAAAAATGCTTTCAAAAGGCTCTGACAATCCCAGCTGAGTTGCCTGATCGGCAGAGGCTTTTTTTCTTTTAAAAGCCTCTGCCAATCAGGCAACTTAGCTTGGATCGCCAGAGGCTTTTAAAAGGAAAAAAACCTCTGCCGATCAGGCAACTCAGCTGGGATCATCAGCTGATGATCTCTTTGATGATCCCAGCTGAGCCAAGTGATCATCAGAGGCTTTTTTTTTTACTTTTAAAAGCATTTTTTTGGCCAAAGAGGTTGTAGAAAAAATGCTTTTAAAAATTAAAAGAAAAAGCCTCTGATGATTGTGCGGCTCAGCTGGGCATGGGGGTGGGGGTGGGGGGCAGGGATTTTTGCTACCAGTTCTCCGAACCACCCACTTCCATCACTGTCTGAACTGGGAGCATTTCATCCCTGCACCTGTTGCTCTCAAATTGTTGCCTTTGATTATTGTAATGCAAATGGTGGACTTATCAAATAGTAGAACATTTCTGAAGTAGATAATTTTTTTTAACCTAAATTACTTACTGGGGGAAAAAAAGCAACATGAGAAGTCCACATATTTTATTGAAAGTACCTTATATACTTTCATATTATATACTACCTTATATATCGGAGCCACCAAAAATACAGAAAGGGCTATAGTGCATAAAATGTCCAAGGGGTAGCTCTGTGGACAAATTAACTGAGTGAAATGGGAAATGGGATAAAGACTAACAATTCAGAAAAGAAAACTGCAAAAATAAATACTGGCTAGATTTAAAAATAGAGAAGTATAAAAATAGAGAAGTAAATACCATATTCTGAAAATAGCGGGAGCAAATGAGGTTTTTTAAACCAGCTACATGGATGGATTCCTTTACAAATGTTTGTCAATTTTCTCCCAAGAAATTCAGTATTAATATACCAGTGCAGCAAGGCAAGCAGTGGCTCAGTGGCTAAGACGCTGAGCTTGTCAATCAAAAGGTCGGCAGTTCAGTGGTTCAAATCCCTAGTGCCGCATAACAGGGTGAACTCCCGTTACTTGTCCCAGCTTCTGCCAGCCTAGCAGTTCGAAAGCACATAAAAAATGCAAGTAGAAAAATAGGGACCACTTTTGATGGGAAGGTAGCAGTGTTCTGTGTGCCTTTGTCATTTAGTCATGACCAGAGACGTCTTTGGACAGTGCTGGCTCTTCAGCTTTGAAATGGAGATGAGCACCGCCCCCTAGAGTTGGGAACAACTAGCACATATGCGTGAGGGGAACTTTTACCTTTATACCAGTCCAGGTAGACCTCCATCCTATGTCATGACAGTCATACATTGAAGCACTCATGTGATCAGCCTGATTTTACCATATTTTTGTGACAATTGTTAAGCTAACATAACATGGCACTTGTATATTATGGCTTAATCTGATTGGTGACCTGGATCCGACCAACCACAAATCAGGCAGCATTGGCTGGTCGGATATTGAAGATTACTGGAGGAACAGACCAGGGGTGAAATCCAGCAGGTTCTGGAGAACCGGTAGCGGAAATTTTGAGTAGTTCAGATATTGACCGGCACAGACTGGCAAATACTACCTTTGGCTGGCCCCAGAGCAGGGTGGGGATGATTGTAGTATCCTTCCCCTGCCATGCCCACCAAGCCACGCCCACAGAACCGGTAGTAAAAACATTTGGATTTCACCACTGGAACAGACCCAAGGGCTGTTAAATTGCAAATTCTCTCCAGCCAAGGTCCATCATGCTGTCAGGCACCAGGTGGTTTCCTCGTGATTAGCAAAGACTTGGTTTAACACCAAGTGTAAAAGTAAATATTCTTTTGCAATGTGATTAACTCACCCAACTGTTGTCTCTAGCCTGCTGTATGAATCCTGCCAATAAGTTTTTTTCTGCGTGGGCTGAGAACATCATTTTAAAAACATATTGTAATTTATTCAAGGGTCCAGCTGGGAATGGATGCTTGTTAAATTAACAACTTTTACATGCCTATAGTGTAGTACCGAAAGGTGTTCTTATTTACATTCTCATGCCAGACATGCTTAAAGCTCAAAGCATTGTTAGAGACGCCACACACCCATTTCATGGTCTGTTTCTGTTGCTCCCCTCTGGGAGGTGGTTTCAAAATATTTCTAGCAGGACTACCAGATTCTGTAACAGCTTTGTTCCCTATGCCATCCGTCGCAAGATTTGTTTTTCTTGCCATGTACATGTACAACTAGACTGAGTGGTTTCTCCATGTCATATATGTGGGTCAGGGGGCGGGTTCTAATTTTTTTTTACTATCGGTTCTGTGGGCGTGGCTTATTTTATGGGCGTGGTTTGATGGTCATGTGACAATTCTTTAGGATTTAGCAGAGGTACTGGTCTACCAGGCTTTTAACTGCTTGCAGAGCCGTACCGGTCCACCCATTTGTTTTTGGAGTGCACTGGTCTACCACCACACTGCCTTTTACCGCTGATCAGCTGTAGGGCGGTCCTTTGAAGCTCTGTGGCAAGAGTTTAAACAGTTTTTTGCCGCTCTGCCACCACCGAGAGCATCGGAAACCGCTTTCAGGCAGCTTGGCCTCAATTGCCAATCTATCATCTACCAATCTACGAGCAGTTTGCAAGGAGCGGATCGGTTCTAGCCGATCATTTGGGAGGGCTTCTTGGCTTCTCAGTTTAAAGCTATGGTGTCTTGTTTTTTTTCCCCTCTTCTTGTCAAGTGAGCTCTGATTTTTTCCTTCTAGCCGATCAGCTGGAAGCTCAGGAGGCAGCAAATAGATTGGGAGCAGGGCCAGGCAGAGGTAGTATTTACTGGTTCTCCGAACTACTCAAAATTTCCACTACAGGTTCACAAGAACCAGGGAGAACCGGTAGCAATCCATCGCTGATGTGGGTATATGCATAATGTTGTATTTATTTACTTTGTCATGTTTATATAGTATATAGTGGAGGTGGAGAGCTTTGGAGAACGAAATTTCATTTTAATGTATGTTCAAAGTGACAATAAATTTATTCTAAGTTTAAGCCTAAAACAGGCACATTGGGATTTTTCAAAACGTTAAGTGAGCAAGGTCCCAAAGATGCTTTTTCAAAGGGATTTTCTTTGTTTTTTTCCCTTGAAGACGTTTCGCTTCTCATCCAAGAAGCTTCTTCAGTTCTGCATCTGGGACTGAGGAAGCTTCTTGGATGAGAAGCGAAATTTCTTCAAGGAAAACAAATAAAAGTTCGGTTGTCTTTAAACAAAAACAAAACTTTTGGGATTACCAGGATTCTGAAGGACAGAATCTCGATAGACATTGAGCGAGGAAACGCTGTAAAGGCGTCCGTGAGGGTGGTACCGCCTGTCCCTAGTTGCGCTCCGTCTTTTGTTCCTTTGCAAATCGAGGGCGCAGAAGAGCGAGGACTTCGGATAAGATCTCGGGGGGGGGAAGGGAGAAGCGAAGCCTTCCCCACCCCAACCAACTTCCACCGGCGGGCAGGAGGCGTCCTTCTCTTTCTATTCCGCCTCCCACGCAGGCGCCCCTTTACTCCCCCTCGCTTGAGACCGTGGGCGGCTTCTGGCCGCTGCTAAACCCGCTTTCCCTTTTCGCCGTCCGGCCTTAGCGGACGGAATTGCAACGGGAAGAGGAAAAGCGAGGAGCAAAGGGAGGAGGGGCGGAGTTCGGCCTTTGTGACGCCACCGCCATCTCGCCTCCCTTCCCCGGCTTTTCCCCCTCCCCCCCCGCGCCCGCCCCCCACCATTGCTTTCCCCCTCCCCTCTCTTTTTTTGTTAATGAAAAACTGTCCCGCGCTCCGCCCCCAGCGCGCGCTCGCCGTGAATTGCCCGGCCGAGGAGTTTGTGCGTCCGGCGTGCGCGCGTCCCCCCCGCTCCCCTTCCCTCGCCCTCTTGCTCTCTCCCGCCTTTCTTAGCCACTGCCCGGTCTGCGCTCCCCCCCCCCTCTCTCTCTCTCCACACCAGCGCCAGGCGCGCGCGCCCATCCGGCCACCAGCGCGCGCGCAGGTGCTTTCCCAAGCCTCGCCTCGCCTCGCCCCCCTCCCCTCCCCGCCCACGCCTCCTTGTCTCCGCTTTCTCCTCCGCCCGCCGCCCCCCCCAACCACTCCTCACCGCCGAAGAAGCGTCACTGGGAAGCTAGAGGGTGGGCTCTTGGAAGAGAAGGAGGGCGCAGAGAAGACAAAATGAGGGAGGCTTCCCGTTAGCTGCAGGAGCGCCGCCGCCGCCGCCGCCGCTCCATCCCACGTGAAGAGTCGGGAAAGGCCAAGAAGCAACCGCAAGGAGCCGGTCCCTTTCTCTCTCTCTCTCTCTCTCTGGACTCTGGGAAAGCAAGAAGCCTTAGATCCGCCAGCTGACTTTTCTCCGGCCTCTGCCTCTCCCGCTTTTCCCGCTCCTCTCCTAGCATTCGCTGTACCGAGGAAGGGGCCTCGTCTCCCGCGCCCTGGCCGCTGCTTGCCTTCCGCCGCGCCGGGTCTCCAACTGGCTTGTTGCAGCTCCCTTCCCCATCCCAGTGCGGGGTGGGGGCTCCCTTTCTCTCTCCTCCCGCCCGCCGTCCAAAGCCTGAATCCCTCCGGCTTCTTTCTGTCTGCCTGGTCTGGCTTCATCCATCCTTTCACGCCGGTCTCCTTCCTCCCAACGGGAACGGGATACACTAATCCACACCCCGCCCTTTTAAACATAGGAGAAGCTCCTTTCACTTTATCGCTTCCCCCCCTCCCCTTCATCTTCTTTTCAATAGTGCAGGTTCTCCCTTCACTTATTTCGGACCCTGCCTGCTCGCCCCAAGAGGTCTCCACCTCTTCTTCTCCCTTGGGTCACTCCCCAGCTTGGCCGCTTTCGCCTGCAATTTGACAGCCAAGGAAAAGGAGGCTAGTAGATGTGGGGAACCCCCCCCCCCTTTCCCCATGCCTTCGATGACTGATTGCCTGACCGCTGGTGTTGGATGCCCAGAAGAGAAAGTGGACAGCCCACTCGGCGATTTCATCTGAGGGATGCCGGAGGTGACCGAGATGATGACTTGATGTTTGGCTTTGCCATGGATGGGTTGAGATGCTTTATGGTTGCCTTGGTCACGCTGCTCCTCTATTGCCCAGGTCCGCCTTGGTGCACTGCCCGACACCTGGTGCTTTGGACAGGGTTCCCGGTATTGCTGCCCATCTTGCTGTCGGTGCCGGCAACTCTGACTTCCCCAATAGCAGGTAAGGGGATAGAAAAGGTTGTCCTCCAGTCCCAGGTTTCGGCTTCCTGGCTTCCCTATCTCTTTTCAGCTTCTTTTGTTGAGCCTGCAATTAGGGTTCCTTTTTACGTCTTAGGAGAAGTCCTGTTGTTTTTACCTTCCCAGCAGACATTGTAGCCAAAGGCTTTTTAGAATCATTCCCGTCTTTCTCATCCTGCCTTCATTTGCAGGACAGTTATAAATGATGGTTTCTCCACCAAATAAAAGTGTTTCTGCAATACTATACGGATGTGCAACTGTGAGGATGTAGAACAATTAAGCTTATGCCTCTCATTTTTTTATGTATCGTGGAAAGGAAATCTGTTTGCCTTTTGCTAGGCTTGTATGGTTAAATTGGAGAAATACTTTCGAAAATTGTTTTTACAAAGGCAATATATTCTTTCATTTGCCGGTGAAATAAATAAATAACCGCCATCCTTCTGTGTGTGGAAAGGGTAGGAGGCCCTGTCTATTGGAATGGATAAGGAGTGGCTTGTTGCTTGTAATTGAATTGTATTTGGAAAATGGATATGCCTCTAAAAACTAATATACCTACATTAACAATGTATATGGAATTTGCATTGTTTTGGGGAATGGTGAAGCATTTTTCAAAATAAGTGCTTAGCTGTTTGGAAAGGTCTTCGTATTGGCTTCTATGATTCTGGGTGCATTTATTTGCAGCTCATTGTAGAATCACAAGGGCTGGAAATGAGAGCCATATATAACTGTACAGTTAAACCTTGTTCCCATTTGTGTGTTCAAATGGATCTGGTTTTGAAATCACTCTAGTTTGTTAGCATTAAACTGCAAGGCTATTTTATTTTGCTTTCTACTTATAGTAGACTTTGAAATCCAGCTGGGTAATTGAATTATATAAGTGGTCTAAATGAATTAAATAAATCATAAAGGTGGCAAACACATTATCTAAACAGTTTCCATTTCTAAAAAGATTCCTTCCTTCTTTCCTCCTTGACTGCCTGCCTGCCTGCCTGTCTCATAAAAAGGAAATTACCAAAGGAAAACCTTATTATAAACTTTCATGTGAACTGAAGTTCAGCACACCTGGAGGGGTACTAAGAGAGGGTACTAAGATGGGGAAGTCTGATTTATCTTGCAGTTCAATTACTTCCAGGTACATGGCATGCCAGTACTGATAAAAGTGATGTTGGTAAGATGTTGGCTTTCTCTAGAACTGACCTAGCTACAATTTGGAACTCCCATCCTGATATCTCCACTTGGAAAGTTCTTTTTCAGCAAATGGTAGAAAAAAACTTATCAGACTTTTATTGAAAATTGAATTATCACAATACCTAAGCCTTCTCAGTTACCGTTGATGACTTGTTTGAATGTTATGCTTAATCACAGTATCAGTAACATTATGTTGCTGTTCTAAATACTAAGAAACAACATTGGAAGACAGCTGGGGAAATCAGAGTTGGATTCTTAGGATTTATAGTACCTTCAGGATTGAAAAAAATCAAGTTGGAACGCTGAGAAAGGGCAATTTCTTACTCTGGAAATCGAGGTGGATTTAAAAAAAAGTAACATCAGGGTGGATTTGATTCCTAGGGAAGGAATCAGGTTGGGAAAGAGATCAAGTGGGTCAACATGTATGGAGCTATGGTTTAGATATGAAATTGATATAATTGATTGAATAACCATTGTTAACTGCTGCAATTAATGCAATTAGACATAACATATAGCATGATATCACAATAATATGGTTCGCTCAACATGTTAAGTCAAAAACAAGTAAACTTCTTGATATAATGTGTTTGCATGGACAAGGATTATTCCTTGTGGACGTTTGTACACTTTTAGATTAGATTCAGAGACATTCTTGCTATCCCATTTCTAGCTGAATAGAATATACTGAGTGAAAGATGTGTCAAGAGATTCTGCAGTTTGGAGAGTATGGACATCTTTTAAAAGCGCCTTGTTTTAATTATTATGCCCATTTATCATTGGTATATACTATCGTCCCTTGGAAATGGTATATTGAGGCTGAACACACTAACTAAAATTTGGAATCTACAGATCTACTTTATCTGACATGTTGGAGAAGACTGACATATATCCTACTGTTTGACAAACTGACAAGACTTCTAAGATCTCTTCTTGGCAAAAAGAATGGCTGGCATTCTTCAGGTCTGCCAGGCAATTTACCTCGTTCAGGTTTTACCACGCTTCAGGTGTTGCAGTCATTATTCAACCGGTGCAGCCTTTACTGAGATCTACTAGACAAGTTCAGCAAGAATGATTAAATTTTGCCAGCACATTTATCCTAGTTCTTTTCTTTCTCCTCGTTATGTCAGGATTAACTGTTCTGCACTGACATTTTTTCCTTCTCCGATGTAAACTGTCTTCTATGTTGTTACACATTTTCTTGTCTGCAGTCAAGACAGGTGGAGCTGCAGTGGAAAGTTGAACCAGGTCATTTATGGAAAATGTGTCTGGTTGCACTCTGGGAATTAGTTTGACACCCATTCTCAAATGCACTCTATTCCTTGCCTCCTTTTCTAAGCAGATCTGAATCTCTTTTCCATTAAGGAGGTATTGATATCTTTATAGTCATCTATTACGGAAATTTGATTCTGTTTAGGAGAACTTGAATACCCTGATTTTGAAAAATCACTTGATTTGCCCAGAGAAGTAGGTTTCAAAAACAGATTTTTAAGTTGACTGAAAAGGCTTATCTTAAAATGACTGAAAAATCCTTATCTACATTTTGAACTATGCTACTGATAATTTTTTCCAGACGTCACAGTTTTACTTTTTTCAGCAAATAGATTTTTTTTATAATATATGCAGGTGGATTTTTTTTTCCTCTTGGCTTTGTAAGTATAAACATGGCACTTGTTGAGTTATTACAGTGTTGTTGTTATTAATATTATTTTTAAAAAGCTCTTCTGTTCTGTGTTCTTGTTATAGTATTATAATCATATATTTCTTTTGCATATTGTTCAAAGTGTTCTGCATGAATTGTTCCATTGTATAAGGATATTGTCAGTTTTAAAACAAGATATTTATTCTGCGATCTAATTTGCACTAAGGCTAAAGTTATATTCTGTTTTAACCTATTTAGCAAAAGTAGTGGGTTAGATATTAGATGGGTTATCTTATCAATCCTTCAAGTTTTTCAAAACAAATTGATATTGTAATAATTATAATAGCCTTAAAATGAAGCCATTGGTGGTAGCAATATTTCTTTCTTTCCTTCCTTCCTTCCTTCCTTTCTTCCTTCCTTCCTTCCTTCCTTCCTTCGACTTACATGCCACTCCAATAGATAATTGATTGTGACCAACTTATGATCCTACTTCACTCAAAGATGTGAGAAGTACTGGGAAGTAACTAGTTGGCAACCTTAAACACTCAAAGAGCCACAAAGGTCCTAACCGGAAGCCCC